TCATGCCTGTAATCCCAGCACTTTGGGAGGCTGAGGCAGGCGGATCACGAGGTCAGGAGATCGAGACCATCCTGGCTAACACGGTGAAACCCCGTCTCTACTAAAAATACAAAAAAAAAATTAGCCGGGCGTGCTGGCGGGCGCCTGTAGTCCCAGCTACACGGGAGGCTGAGGCAGGAGAATGGCGTGAACCCGGGGGGCGGAGCTTACAGTGAGCAGAGATCGTGCCACTGCACTCCAGCCTGGGCAACAGAGCGAGACTCCGTCTCAAAAAAAAAAAAAAAAACATTAGCCGGGCTAATTTTAGCTGTAATGCCAGCTACTTGGGAGGCTGAGGCAGGAGAATTGCTTGAACCTGGGAGGTGGAGGTTGCAGCGAGCCAAGATCACGCCATTGCACTCCAGCCTGGGCGACAGAGCGAGACTCCATTTCAAAAAAAAAAGGAATTTTTTTTTTTTAAGAATTAACCAGCCGGGCGCGGTGGCTCAAGCCTATAATCCCAGCACTTTGGGAGGCCGAGACGGGCGGATCACGAGGTCAGGAGATCGAGACCATCCTGGCTAACACGGTGAAACCCCGTCTCTACTAAAAATACAAAAAAAAAAAAACTAGCCGGGCGAGGTGGCGGGCGCCTGTAGTCCCAGCTACTCCGGAGGCTGAGGCAGGAGAATGGCGTAAACCCGGGAGGCGGAGCTTGCAGTGAGCTGAGATCCGGCCACTGCACTCCAGCCCGGGCTACAGAGCAAGACTCCGTCTCAAAAAAAAAAAAAAAAAAAGAAAAAAGAATTAACCAGGGAGGCTGGGCGCGGTGGCTCACGCCTGTAATCCCAGCACTTTGGGAGGCCGAGGTGGGCAGATCCCCGAGGTCGGGAGTTCAAGACCAGCCTGACCAACATGGAGAAACCCCATCTCTACTACAAATACAAAAATTAGTCAGGCATGGTAGCGCATGCCCGTAATCCCAGCTACTCGGGAGGCTGACCCAGGAGAATTGCTTGAACTTGGGAGGTGGAGGTTGCAGTGAGCCAAGATTGCGCCATTGCACTTCAGCCTGGGCAACAAGAGCAAAACTCCGTCTAAACAAAAACAAAAACAAAAACAAAAGAATTAGCCAGGTCCCAGTTACTTGGGAGGCTGAGGCGGGAGGATCTCTTGAGCCTGGGAGTTGAAGGCTGCAGTGAGCCATGATTGCGCCACTGCACTCCAGCCTGGGAGACACAGGGAGACCCTGTCTCAAAAATGCACACACATTATTTTTGGGGGTTCAGAGAGAGGGGAGGGGGTCTGAGTTAGTCACAATGAAATCTCACGTCGCCCCCATCAGATTGGCACGCCACGAAAAAGCACCCACTCTGACATTGCTGGTAGAACTGTGAATCATGAACACCACTGGGAAAAGCACTCCAGGGATTTCAAACCGAAGTTCCCTTCAGCCCTACAATCCCACTCCTGGGACCTAACTGGAAACGGGCCTGCTCCAGGGTGCAGAGGCCGGTGTGTGCAGTTTCTAGCAGACCTTGGCATGTCACCAAAGCCAAAATGGGGCCCAGAAAAGTGAATGTATGACAGTGTGTGCCCTATGCTGTCATTTTTTTTTTTTTTTTTTTGAGATGGGGTCTTGCTCTGTCACCCAGGCTGGAGTGCAGTGATGCCATCTCATTACAGCTAACTGTGTCACTGCAGCCTGGATCTCCTGGGTTCAAGCGATCCTCCCCACCTCAGCTTCCTGAGTAGCTGAGACTGCAAATACGCACCATCATGCCCAGCTGATTTTTTTGATTTTTGGTAGAGATGAGGTCTCCCTATGTTGTCCAGGGTGGTCTTAAACTCCTGAGGTCAAGCAATCCTTCCTTCTTGGCCTCCCAAAGTGCTGGGATTGCAGGCATGAGCTACCGCACCTGGCCTAAAACTATTTTTGTTGTTGTTGTTGTTTTTGACATGGAGTTTCACTCTTGTTGCCCAGGCTAGAGTGCAATGGCATGATCTCAGCTCACTGCAACCTCCACCTCCTGGGTTCAAGCGATTCTCCTGTCTCAGCCTCCCAAGTAGCTGGGACTACAGGCACCCGCCACCACGCCTGGCTAATTTTTTTGTATTTTTAGTAGAGATGGGGTTTCACTATGTTGGCCAGGCTGGTCTCAAACTTCTGACCTCAGATGATCTACCCACCTTGGCCTCCCAAAGTGCTGGGATTACAGGCGTGAGCCACCACGCCCAGCCCTAAAACTATTTTATATGGGGAGAAAATACCCAGGCCATGGCACCAGAAAGCAAGGAAGAAGCCATGTGGAAGCCCTCCTGGCGCTTCTTCAGGGAGGCGAGCAAAGAGCACCTGGGGCCAGGAGGCGGCATGCCTGGGTTTCTGCTCCTCCTCCCTGTAACTTTCAGCCAAGTCAAACTTCTAGAGTTTCAGTTTATCTGTGAAATGACAGGGCTGGCACAGATGGTTTCTAAGATCCCTCCCAGGCCTGGAACTTCTAAACCGTTAGGTCAAAGGTGGGGGAGAGGCCCCATCTGGCAACCATTGGCTCCCCAGCTGTGGTGGGGACACGGTGGAGCAGTGACACTGAGACCAAGACCAGTAATAACAACGGCTGCCCTGACAGCCAGTCCCCCTGGGCGAGGCTGAGCTCCTCTGCGGGCTGCAGAGCTGGAGGGAGGCACAGCCGCCAGCCTCCTTCCTCCGGTGGCTCAGGGGTCACTGGCACTTGCAAACCCCGGGCCAGGGCTGAGGTCTTCTGAGGTCCTGGCCCCAGAAAGGGGGTTCGCCTGGGCAGGAAGCTGTGTGACTAATGGCAGCTGGCCACACTTTGAGAAACACTCATTTAAAAAAGGGCCTGGGGAATGCAGGTTCCGGGCCGGGGCCTGCCTGGAGCCTTCCTGGCCACCTGCTCTGCCTTGCACAGGTTCTGGGGCTTCTGGCTCTGCTTGGGCTGGCTCAGTGCATGCTTGTCGGATTTAGCAAATAACAAACAGAATGCCCAGTTACATCTGAATTTCAGGTAAACAATACTTTTTTTAGTAGGAGAAATGTCTCGTGCAACATTTGAGACACACTTGTGCAAAACCATTGTTCATCGCCTGGTGTATAACCTGGCAACTCTGGGTGGCACCTGGCAAGAGAGGGGACAGCGGAGCCAGGCTTCCTGCAGTCTCTGCCCCTCTGGAGGTGTCCCCTCCACATAGGCCTCTCCTTTGGGTGGGGTCCACTCTTCCAGGGGTTCCACGAAACCGCCCTGAATCAGCCCAATCTAGGTACACCACCTGTTTCCTGTGGGACCCCACCTGACCCAGGAGGCTCCCAGGGCTGTTTATTACACAGGTATTGGTAGGAAGAAAAAGTAAAATCGTGATGAGTGCTTATAGCTGCGAGATGTGGCATGAACAAAAGGGGGTTCCCACACTGCTGGATGAAGAGCCTGTCCCCACCCTGTCTCTGAGCCCACATGGAAGCCCGCCTTCTCTTCGCCCTCCCTCCAGCCTCTGTGAAGTGAGGGCGGCCTCTCTGGTGATGTGCGCAACCTCTTCCCTCTTCTAGGGCACGTGGTGCTTTCGAGACAACCTCAAATGGAACCAGGCTGTTTTCCAAGCAGGTGCTGTCCTTGCTCTCCCCTGCCAACCACATGCCCCGCCCCCAGGCCCCAAGCCCTGGGCCAGGCCCTGCCATTTGCCCCAGGTCCTTAACTGGTGGCGATGTGCTCAGCCAGCCAGGACAGAACATCCAGCCCAGGTGCCCAGTTCCAGAAACATCTCAGTCATCACAGCCATGGGCCAAATGCCAACCTTGAGGGCACTGAGCAGGTGCACATGGGTGGCCCATGCTGAGATGCCATTTGGCAGGGATAGGGCATCCTCTCTCCTCTGCCCTCACCTTTGGAGCTGATCACTTCTCCATTTAATTTGTGGGATTAAAGCAGACCCTCCTCAGTACTTAAGGCTCCAGGGACAAGACTATGGAGTCTGGGATGAAGAGCCCATGAGTTAAATGACATTAGCTTTCTTCAGGAGTCCCCTTTACAGGCCAGGCGCAGGGGCTCATGCCTGTAATCCCAGTACTGGGAGGCCAAGGCAGGTGGATCACCTGAGGTCAGGAGTTAGAGACCAGCCTGGCCAACATGATGAAACCCCGTCTCTACCAAAAATACAAAAATTAGCCAGGCATGGTGGTGGGTGCCTGTAATCCCAGCTACTCGGGCAGCTGAGGTAGAAAAATTGCTTGAACCCAGGGGGCAGAGGTTGCAGTGAGCCAAGATCACACCACTGCACTCCAGCCTGGGTAACAGAGCAAGACTCTGTCTCGAAAAAAGGAAGTCCCCTTTACAGACCAGATGCCTTCAGGTGAAAGGAGGTGAGGCAGGCCTCTAAGTAACATAGTGACCAGCAGGAAGAAGGACTGCCCTGGGAGTAGAGAGGGTGGCATGGAGTCCTCAGTGCTTCTCTGGCTGCGGCCAAGGATGACCCAGCATCCTGACTACAAACTAGAGTCTGGGCCTTGGGCTCGAGGGCTCAAAAACTGTTGCATGAGAAGCACGTGCCACCTCCAGCACCCTGCCTGGCGATACTGTCAGCAGATCAGTTCACAAGGACCTGGGTGATGGGCACATGGGGACTGCTCAGACTGTAGCCACTCAGACTGTAGCCACTAAGGACATCTAAGCCACACCCTGGCTCCAAGGGGAGACCCACAAAGCAACTTTCTGTTGAGAGTTCAACTTTTGACATTTGTGTGTTTCCTCATCTGGACACACCCTGCCTGGTTCCACAGATGATCTGAGGCGATGTGGCTCTCACATGACCTGCCTACAGTTAACAGTCACAGATGTCATGGAGGTAATTAAGTGATTTCCCCGTCAGTCTGCTGGGCACGTATTTAGTGTGGCTCAGTCTCCCTGAATCCAGCCACTTCTAAGGACACTCGCTGGCACCCCACTGACTGGCCTGCCTCGCTGCTGCCAGTCCACACCCACAGCTGACACCCCAAAGATACTCCAGACAGTCGCTCTCCGTCCAACCATGAGCGCAAGGGGCTTCTTGGTGTCATTTCCACTCCCCTTGCCAATATTTATTTGGAAACATTTCAAACTACAGGAAAGTTATGAGAATTACATCAGGAACACCCACATCCCTTGTGCCAAGATCTTTGCTTTATGTCTTTGAAAGTAGGTTGTCGAGGTCACAGCACTCCATCCCTCCACACCAAAGCCCGCAGCTTCTCAGGAAAGGGCAGTCCTGTGTGATCAGTGCGTATCATCACACGTAGGATGCCCCACACTGGCACCATCTCAGAGTCCGTTTCAATGCCGGGGGTCGTCGGTTTTCAGCAGGTTCTTCCCACAGTTCAATGTGTCTTCCCGCCAGAGGGACAGAATCTTGGGTGAGTGTTGAAATGCGTCAGAAACAAAAACGCAAAGTGGAACTGGAGCACGTCACAGACCTTGGACCAGAAGTGGCCTGTGAGGCGCTGGAAGAGATGCCACCGTGCGAGCTGATGGTCACACAGCTTGAGGACCACAAAGCCCAGGCAAGAGAGCACCCCCAAAGCTAAGTACGTGGCCGAGGTGGTGCTGCCATAGTGCCTGTGGGTGCGCAGCGCCTGCCCCACAGCGGCCACCACATGAGCACCCAGTGCGACCTCGAAGCCCTGGGGATGCAGCAGAGCAAGGCCGTAACTGGCCAGGGAGATGCACTCAAGGGAGAGGAACAGCCAGGGCCGCCAGCCGTGGTCTAGGTAGAGGCACCATGCGACAGGCCACGCAAAGATGGGCAGGGTGAGCCACTGGTCCAGCACGGCGGTGCGGCGCCACTGCGTCCATAGGCGCAGCCACTGCACAGGGCCGTAGAGCAGGGCCATGGCTGCGAACACATCCTTCAGGTAGCGGGGACCCGGCCCCACCGTGCCGCCCCTGTGCAGCCAGAATAGCCCTAGTAGCGTGTAGGCCACATTCACCAGTGAGTTGAACGGCATGGCCAGGAAGGCAGGGAGACCAGCCACCGGCGCCTCGGCGTAGTCCTCATAGCCCACTTGCACGGAGACGCTGTCAAAAATGCCTGTGAACACGGCCACAGCACAGAGGCCACCGGCCACGGCCACGTGCATGAAGGCCTGCCCCCACTCCGGATTCATCTGGAACTGGTGGCCTGACCTGGGGCAGGGAGCTTCAGAGAGCAGCCTTCAATACGCAGCCTCTGCAGAACACTCTGGGCCTCCAAGCTGAGCCAGCAGGAAGAAGCCCCGTGATTTCCGAGGCAGATGCTGCGACCTTGCCCTGAAGGAAGGCAGGAGTCCTGCTGATTGGCTGGCGCCAGCGGAGGAACGTTCTGCCTTTTTCCTTTGTGGTTACAAAAGGAGTGTGGTTAGAAAACAAACCGTCCCCAGCGCCGCCTCCATGTTCCTGACTCCCGGCCTCAGGAGCTACCAACCATATTCACGGGAAGAAGCAAATCAGAGTGAAACCACTGCACACTGGCTCTCTCACGCGTGGCCTCTACAATCCTCTATCGCCCCTTTCTCCTGGCACCTAAGAAAATCCTGCCCCTCGTCCTAGTTTCCTTAAAGCCATTGCATCTACAGACAAGACCTGCCTAGCTCTGTCATTACAACTCAGAACGTGCCTTCCCATGCCGGTGTGTTATAAAAGTGGATGTCTCCAGCCCCAAAGCCCTTTTCACCAAATACCCAGTTGAACCAGAGACCATTAGATGGAGCCCGAGCTCTGGCCTCTGACACGAGGTGGGGGAGGGAGGAGGAGAATTCACCGTCTGCCACTCAAGCACCAGGCCGGGAGGCAAGGGGGTGACCTGTAGGCCTCCCAGGCCAGCTTCCCTGGCTCACTCACCTGCCCTCTCCTGAAGTGCCAAGCCCCAAATCACCTGCTTTCCTCAGGCCACCATAAAGCCTTCCGTCTCCTTCAGTCACAGAACCAGAGAGACAATTTAATTATCACTGACTGTCAACTGCTTTGGGGCCAGTGGTGCTGTGAGTGAGCCTAGTAGCTGAGAAACACATTAATATGGAAGGGAGAACAGCTTTAATGCTCTGAAAATGACTCCAATCATTAAAGCTCTTCTCCCTTCCATATTAATAAATTTTGCACTCAACAGGGTGGGCAGGCAGGCGGGCTCAGGGAGAAAGAAGGGTGGGCTCCAGTTCCTGGTCAGCTGATACCAGACTGTTCAAACCCTGGCTCTCCTACCGACTAACCATGTGATCTTGTACCTTAACTGTCTTGGGCCTCGGGTTGCACACGTTTTTTTTTGTTTTTTTTTTTTGAGATGGAGTCTCATTCTGTTGCCCAGGCTAGAGTGCAGTGGCACAATCTTGGCTCCCTGCAACCTTCGCCTCCCAGGTTCAGGTGATTCTCCTGCCTCAGCCTCCCTAGTAGCTGTGATTACAGGCACGCACCACCATGCCCAGCTAACTTTCCTATTTTCAGTAGAGATGGGGTTTCACGACGTTGGCCAGGCTGGTCTTGAACTCCTGACCTCAAGTGATCCACCTGCCTCAGTCTCCCAAAGTGCTGGGATTCACAGGCATGAGCCACCGCGCCCAGCACAGTTAGCTCATCTTTGACCTAATGGCTTAGAAGTTCCAGGCCTGGGAGGGATCTTAGAAACCATCTGTGCCAGCCCCGTCATTTCACAGATAATGAAACTGAAACTCTAGAAGTTTGACTTGGCTGAAAGTTACAGGGAGGAGCAGAAACCCAGGCATGCCGCCTCCTGGCCCCAGGTGCTGTCTGCTCACCTCCCTGAAGAAGCACCAGGAGGGCTTCCACGTGGCTTCTTCCTTGCTTTCTGGTGCCAAGGCCTGGGTATTTTTATTTAGACATGGAGGTCTTGCTCTGTTGCCCAGGTTGGAGTGCAGTGGCACAATCATAGCTCACTGCAGCCTCTACCTCCTGGGCCCAGGCTATCCTCCTGTCTCAGCCTCCCAAGTAGTTGGGACCAGGTGTATACCACTACCTTGCCCTGCTAATTTTTGTGAAAAAATTTTTGGGGCCAGGCATGGTGGCTCATGCCTGTAATCCCAGCACTTTGGGAGGCAGAGGCGGGCAGATCACGAGGTCAGGAGATCAAGACCATCCTGGCTAACACGATGAAACCCCATCTCTACTAAAAATACAAAAAATTAGCCAGGCGCGGCGGCGGGCGCCTGTAGTCCCAGGTACTCGGGAGGCTGAGGCAGGAGAATGGCGTGAATCCTGGAGGTGGAGCTTGCAGTGAGCCGAGATCTCGCCACTGCACTCCAGCCTGGGCGACAGAGCGTGACTCCATCTCAAAATAATAATAATAATAATAATAAATAAAAATTAAAAAATTTGTAGAGACAGGGTCTCACTATGTTGCCCAGCCTGGTGTCGAACTCTTGGCCTCAAGTGATCCTCCTGCCTCAGCCTCCCAAAGTCCTAAGATTACAGGAGTGAGCCACTGCACCCAGCTAAACCCCTCTTAAGTTGAAAGTCCAGTTCCAATATTTTCAACTTATGATGGGTTTATCTGGACATTACCCTGTTATATGCCAAAAAGCATATGTAGCTGGGCATGGTGGCTCACATCTATAATCCCAGCAATTTGGAAGGCCAAGGTGAGAGGATTGCTTGAGTCCAGGAGTTTGAGACCAGCCTGGGCAACAAAGTGAGACCCTGTCTCTACACAAAATACATAAAATTAAATTTAAAAAATAAAATTAAAATTAGATAGGCATGGTGGTACACCTATAGTCCCAGCTCCTCAGGAGACTGAGGCAGGAAGATCACTTAAGCCCAGGAGGTGGAGGCTGCAGTGAGCTATGATCATGCCACTGCACTCCAGCCTGGGCCACAGAGCAAGACCCTATCTCAGAATTAAAAAAAAAAAAAAAAAAAAAAAAAAAAAAGGCCAGGCGCAGTGGCTCACACGTATAATCCTATAATTCTAGCACTTTGGGAGGCCGAGGTGGGTGGATCATCTGAGGTCAGGAGTTTTGAGACCAGCCTAGCCAACGTGGTGAAACCCTGTCTCTACCAAAAATACAAAAAAATAAGCCGGGCACAGTAGCTCATGCCTGTAACCCCAACACTTTGGGAGGCTGAGGCAGGCAGATCACTTGAGATCAGGAGTTCCAGACCAGTCTGGCCAACATGATGAAACCCTGTCTCTACAAAAATACAGAAAAAGTAACCAGGCGTGGTGGCGCATGCCTGTAATCCCAGCTACTTGGGAGGCTGAGACGGGAGAATCGCTTGAATTCAGGAGGCAGAGGTTACAGTGAGCCGAGATCATGCCACTGCACTCCAGCCTGGGCGACAGAGCAAGACTTCATCTCAAAAAATAAAACAATTAGCTGGGCGTGGTGGCACACGCCTGTAATCCCAGGTACTCAGGAGGCTGAGGCAGGAGAATTGCTTGAGCCCGGGAGGCAGAGGTTGCAGTGAGCCAAGATCGTGCCACTGCACTCCAGCCTGGGCAACAAGAGTGAAACTCCTTCTCCAAACAAACAAAAAAAAAAAAAAAAAAAAAAAAGGGGCCAGGCACAGTGGCTCACGCCTGTAATCCCAGCACTTTGGGTGGCTGAGGTGGATCAATCAGTTGAGGTCAGGAGTTCAAGACCACCCTGGCCAATATGGCAAAACCCCATCTCTATTAAAATACAAAAATTAGCCAGGCATGATGGCTTGCACCTGTAGTTCCAGCTATTTGGGAGGCTGAGGCAGGAGAATCGCTCAAACCCCGGGAGGCAGAGGTTGCAGTGAGCTGAGATCATGCCACTACACTCCAGCCTGGACCACAGAATGAGACTCCGTTTCCAAAAAAAAAAAAAAAAAAAAAAAAAGGTATCTGTATATGTAGACCACTTAGCACTATTTTATTATTACTTTATTTTATTTTGTTTTGTTTTGTTTTTTGAGACAGACTCTTGCTCTGCTGCCCAGGCTGGAGTGCAGTGGTGTGGTCTTGGCTCAGTGTAACCTCCGCCTCCTGGGTTCAAGTGATTCTCCTGCCTCAGCCTCCTGGGTAGCTGGGATTACAGCTAAAATTAGCCCGGCTAATGTTTGTATTTTTAGTAGAGACGGGGTTTCGCCATCTTGGTCAGGCTGGTCTTCAACTCCTGACCTCGTGATCTACCTGCCTCAGCCTCCCAAAGTGCTGGGATCACAGGCATGAGCCACTGTGCCTGGCCTATTTTATTTTTTATTCAGACGCAGTCTTGTACTGTCTGCACTGTTGCCCAGGCTGGAGTGGCATGATCTTGCCTCACTGCAACCTCTGCCTCCCGTTTTCAAGGGATTCTCCTGCCTCAGCCTCCTGAGTAGCTGGGATTACAGGCACCCGCCACCATGCCCAGCTAACTTTTTGTATTTTTTTTTTAGTAGAGACATGGTTTCACCACGTTGACCAGGCTGGTCTCGAACTCCTGACCTTGTGATTCACCTGCCCCGGCCTTCCTAAGTGCTGGGATGACAGGTATGAGCCACCACACCTGGCCTATTTATTTTTTGGGACAGAGTCTCGCTCTGTGGGGCAGGCTGGAGTGCAGTGACAGGATCTCGGCTCACTGCAACCTCCGCCTTCCAGGTTCAAGTGATTCTCCTGCCTCAGCCTCCCAAGTAGCGGGAACTACAGGCGGGAGTCATCAGACCCAGCTAATTTTTGTATTTTAGTAGAGATGAGATTTTGCCATATTGGCTGGGGTGGTCTTGAACTCCTGACCTCAACTGATCCACCGACCTCAGCCTCCCAAAGTGCTGGGATTACAGGCACGAACCACTGTACCCAGCCTATTTTATTATTTTTAATAGCATATAGAGTGACATTTTGATACATGTATATAATGTATAATGATCAAACAAGGTACTTAGCATATCCATCACCTGGAACATTTATCATTTCTTTGTGTTGGGAACATTCCAAATCCTTTCTTATAGTCTTTTGAAAATACACAAGAAATTATAGTTAACAGGGCTCACCCTACAGTGCAGAACAGCAGGATCCATTCATGCTATGAAGCTGGAATTTTGTATTTGTTATCCGACTCCTCCGAATCTTTCCCTACTCTCTAATCTTTCCAGCTTCTAACACCCACTATGCTTCTATTTCCATGAGCTTGATTTTTTAAATATTTTACATAAGAATTAGTACATAAAATATTTATCTTCCTGTTCCTGGCTTATTTCACTTAACATAACGTCCTCTAGGCTCATCCATGTTGCCACAAATAACAAGATTTATCTTATCAGTTTGTTTATTTCTTTAAGACAGGGTCTGGCTCTGTCTCCCAGGCTGAGTGCAGTGGTGTGATTGCAGCTCACTGCAGCCTCCACCTCCCAGGCTCATGTGGTCCTCTGGCTTCAGCCTGCCAGGTAGCTGGGACCACAGGCATGTTACCATGCCTGGCACAGTTTTAAATTTTTTTTGAAAGATAGGGTCTTGCTATATTGCCCAGGCTGGTCTCAAACTCCTAGGCTCAAGCGATCCTGTCACCTTGGCCTCCCAAAGTGCTGGGATTACAGGCGTGAGTTACTGCATCCAGCCAATAGTTTTTTTTTTTTTTTCCCCCTGAGACAGGGTCTCACTCTGTCACCCAGGCTGGAGTGCAGTGCCACAGTCTCGGCTCACCTCAGCCTCCGCCTCCTGGGTTCAAGCAATTCTCCTGCCTCAGCCTCCTGAGTAGCTGGGATTATAGGCGCCTGCCACCACACCTGGCTAATTTTTGTATTTTAGTAGAGATGGGGTTTCACCATGTTGGCCAGGCTGGTCTCGAACTCCTGATCTCAGGTGATCTGCCCGCCTCGGCCTCCCAAAGTGCTGGGATTACAGGCTTGAAACACCACGCCTGCCAACAGTTTATTTTTAAATGGCTCAATAATATTCCATCATGTGTATATACCACATTTTCTTTACATATCAATCTACTGATGGACACTTAGATTGCTTCCATATCTTAGCTATTATAAGTAGTACAAAGGCACGAATAACCTACATTGGGGAAAGGACAGTCTCTTCAATAAATGGCACTGGGCAAACTGGATAAGCATATGAAGAAGAATGAAAACCAGACCCCATCTCTCACCACACACAATAATCAACTCAAAACGGATGAAAGACTTCAATGTAAGACCTCAAACTAGAAAGCTACTAGAAGAGGCAACTGCAGTGGCTCACACCTGTAATCCCAGCACTTTGGGAGGTCAAGGCGGGCAGATCACTTAAGGTCAGGAGTTCTAGACCAGCCTGGCCAACACAGTGCAACCCCGTCTCTACTAAAAATACAAAAAGTAGCTGGGCGAGGTGGCACACGTCTGTAATACCAGTTACTCGGGGGGGCTGAAGTAGGAGAAATGCCTGAACCCAGGAGGAGGAGGTTGCAGCGCGCCAAGATCACACCACTGTACTCCAGCCTGGGCAACAGAGCAAGACTCTGTCTTTAAAAAAAAAAAAAAAAAAAATTTGGGTGTGGTGGCTCACACCTGTAACCCCAGCACATTGGGAGGCAGAGGCGGGCGGATCACCTGAGGTCAGGAGTTCCAGACCAGACTGTCCAACATGGTGAAACTCCATCTCTACTAAAAGTATAAAAATTAGCCGGGGTGGTGGCAGGCGCCTGTAATCCCAGCTACTTGGGAGGCTGAGGCAGGAGAATCGCTTGATCCCAGGAGACTGGGTTTCAGAGTGAGACTCTGTCTCAAAAATAAGTAAATAAATAAATACAAATAATAAAATAAATATATAAAATAAAACTACTAGGAGAAAATGGGGAAATGCTCCAGGATATGGCTCTGGGGAAAGATTTTATGGCTAAGACCCCAAAATCATGGGCAACAAAAACGAACACAGACAAATGAGAGCAGATTAAAGTAAAAAGCTTTTGCACAGCACAGAAGCAATCAACAATGAAGAGACAATATAGGAGAAAATATTTGCAAATGATTCATGTGACAAGCACTGTTTATTTTTGAGGTGCAATGTCCATCTGCCCTACTGCAATTTAGGCCCCAAATGGGTGGGAAAGGGTCTGATTCCTTGCTCTTCCTCAGGTGCCCAGTGAAGCCCTGCTCAATTTCAATTCAATTAAAGTACAAAGCCAGCACCTCTGCTCCCTCTGACCAGTCCTGTTTGCTATTTCACTTCTCAGGCAGGTCCTGGGGCCCGCCTGCATCCTCCTGGGCCTCATTCTCAGTCTTCTTGCCTTGGAGTTCCGTCGCTGAGGAGGACCACCAGGCTGGGCATGTGGGTGGCCCACTGCCCTCTGAAGCATGGTGTTGCCACATAGGAACCACAGCCCTCACTATTACTACATTTGTCCTTGCTTCACACAAGCCTGCCATCTTGCCGGGCGCAGGGGCTCAAGCCTGTAATCCCAGCACTTTGGGAGGCCGAGACGGGCGGATCACGAGGTCAGGAGATCGAGACCATCCTGGCTAACACGGTGAAACCCCGTCTCTACTAAAAAATACAAAAAACTAGCCGGGCGAGGTGGCGGGCGCCTGTAGTCCCAGCTACTCGGGAGGCTGAGGCAGGAGAATGGCGTGAATCCGGGAGACGGAGCTTGCAGAGAGCTGAAATCCGGCCACTGCACTCCAGCCCGGGCGACAGAGCGAGACTCCGTCTCAAAAAAAAAAAAAGCTTGCCATCTCAGCATGGAGCACCCGAACTCCTCCTGCACCCTCCTCCCAGTCAAAAACGCCTCTGGGTCCAGGAGTGTGCACACAGCAGCCCCAGCATCTTTGCTGAGCAGTCCTGGATGGGATCATGTCTGCCCTGGCTTTCCACCCTTCCATGACCAGCTTCCCATTCCATGCCCTGGATCATGTCCCAAAGTCTTGGCCAGACTTAAAGTGCCATCCCCATCCAGCCCTGTGAGCTCCTCAGGCCCAGCTCTGTCCTGAAAGCCCTTTGCTCACTGCGCCTGGCCACTGCCCTTGACTCAGCTGTTATTTCCTCTCAGGCACTTCCCCATTCAGCTCCTGACTCCAGCTGAGACACCAGCTGAGGCCCCGCCTGATGTCTACAGGTCCTTCCCTGCACCCACCTAGGGCTCCATGACACCGGTGCTAGCCTGACCCTCCTGCCTGCCAGCAAGCAGGGCGGAGGGCTGGAACAGGAGTCAAACACTGTCAACTTGATCAAGGAGGAACTCCAGGAAAGACATGGAAAGCAACTCCTCTTTCCGGCTGCAGGGGTTCAGTCTACCTGACCCGGGATACAGGCTGACAGTGACAATGTAATCAAAGCACCTGTCCGAGACCCCCAGGAAAACCGAGATGGTTACCTTATAGCCTAGCTTCCCTGTACCTTTGAATTGCCATGATCCTTATTATGTGACACTCAAATCTCATCACAGCTTTCCCCAGCTCCTGGCATGGGAAGGCCAACACCTCAACAGCACTGGCCCCTGGGTCTGGGGTCTTTCAGGGAAGCCCTGGAAAGCCTGACAATCTCCTGGCTAAAGGCCCCAGACTCTCCCGCACACATTTAAACAGCAGGCACTGTCACCTCCAGGCCTTTAGCATTTATGGTTAGTTATGTCCCCCCCTGCATGACCTTCCTTGCATTCTGTGGATAAAGGGACATCAATTAACATTAATTTGGCTTCTGGACTGATTCCAGGCAAGGCTCTTGGAAACCAGCAGCTGTTTGTGTGTCTGTGTGTTTTTTTTTTTTTGAGACAGGGTCTTGCTCTGTCGCCCAGGCTAGAGCAGTGGCGCGATCTCAGCTCACTGCAGCCTTGAACTCCCTGGCTCAAGCCATCCTCTCACTTCAGCGTCCCAAGTAACTGGGACCACAGGCGTGTGCCACCATGCCTCCGGGTCTCGCTATGTTGCCCCGGCTAGGCTCAAGCGATCCTCCCACCTCATCCTTCCAAAGTGTTGGGATTACAGGCATGAGCCAACGCGTCAAGCCTTAGTTTTCTTATTTACCATGGGTGGGGGACTTGGGGACATAGAAGTGAGGTAACTATCCAAGGTCACAAAGAGCAGGTGGTGGCACAGCCAGACAAGCAGGAATTCTTCTCTTTGTCCCTTCTCAAATGGATACTTCCAACTGCATGAACTAAAACACAGAGGATTACAAAATTCATGTAATATGTTGACAGGCGACTTTAAAAATATTGTTGAAAATGTGTGAGACGGTGATATGTGCTTCTTTACTAACGCATTAAATTACAAGGTCTTCCAGCAGGACGCATAACTTCAGTAACTTCAAAGTAATAATTCTGCCCGCCGGTAGATCTGGTAGATCTTGTAATTTAATTGAACCTCTAGACGTTTACAACAAAAGCCACAGGCTCTTACAGGACCTGTCTGTCCAATTCTACTGGCGACTGCCGCTCGCGGGCAGCAGCTTGGGTCCCCGCGCTGCGGCCTGCGCGTGGCAGAGAAGATGCCGCCGCCGCCGCCGCCGCGCCCGGGCGGCCTCCTGGAGGCGGCGGAACGTGGGGGCGAGGCTGGGACCCACCTCCCGGGGCTGCGGTAAGCACTTACAGTATTGGCGCGAAAAGGCCAGCGATCACCATACGGGTATTTCGCCTCACTCGCCTCGCTGGGGAAAATTCAAATCTCCGAAAAGGGCGGACACAAGCAGCGCCGCTGCGCCTGCGCGCAGGGCGGGACTCGGGGCCTGGGAAGCGGGCGGGGCGAGGTGACGCGAGGTGACGCGGGCGCCTCCCGCGCTCGCTCGCCCGCTCGCCCGCCCGCCCGCCCGGCTCGGGCGCCACCGGACCGACTGTGGGCTTCTCGGCGGTGGGGGCGGCCGAGCGCGCGGCGGTCTGGGGCGCGCGGCCCGGCTCATTTTGCTGTGGCTCGGGCGGAGGTGGTGGCGCCCGAGGGCGGGACCGGCGGCCTGGGAGCCTGGGAGCGGGCAGAGGCTCCACCCCCGGGCACCGGCGCTCGGCTGCGTCGCCTCCCATTCTAGCCCCGCCCCCGGCTCCCCCGCGGCGTGCCTGGGGGAGCCTCCTGCGGCTGCTGTGTGCAGGGCGGGAAAACGCTCGCTCCCCGGCCGCAGGCACGGCTGCAGTGGCTCTTCGCCACCCCCGGCCACCAACGTTCCCTTGTCCCCACTGCCAGTTAAAGGCAGTTCCTCGGGCGTGCGTCCCTTCAGCGACCGGAGAGACCATTCCCAAGGGGGGCGGGGCCGAGCGCGTCGGAGGGGTTAGCACTCTCATCCGGGCATTTCAGAGATGCCGCCGCCGCCATCTTTGTTTTGTGCTGAAAGTCGCTATTGACGCCCGCGGACGGCCGGGCGAAGGGAAGTGGCAAGATGGCGGCTCCCAGGGCGGAGGCGTGGAGGCTCGCCCTGTTGGGGGGCCGTGGGGCGGGGCGCGCCTGCGCCTGCACCTGACCTGAGCGCGGCTAGAGCTTCAGACCAGCGCGCGGCCGCGCCGACCCCCACCCCCGCCGCGAGGCAGCGCAGGGGTCCTTTAAGAGGCTTGGGCCCAGGGGCTAAGCGGTGCGAGGGCGAGTGGGGAGAAGCGGTGACGTCACCCAACTCCGCCCCCTCGCCCGACCGCCGGCTCCGCTGCCGCCATGTTTAGTTGTTACTTCTTCACACAAGATGGCGGCTCCCAGGGAGGAGGCATGAGCGCCCTGCCGTTACCGCTCCTTCTGCCGTACAGTTGCCGCGTCGGGGCCTAACTCTAGCTCTTTGAAGCGGCTCCTGTGGGAAGGAGTCATAAGGCGGGAAGTGAGGATCGGACACTGCCTTGAGTTTGGTTTGCAGTGGAAGAACTGACCCAGGAGGAAGAGAATAGGGGGGAACGAGGAGCTAGTCTCAAGATGGCGGCTCCCACGGCGGCAGGCGCAGCCTGAGCAGCAGAGGCGGACTAAGGGGAGAGGCGCGAGACTTCACAAGCCGTACGGCGCGAGCCCCTAAACGGCCCTCGAGAGCTCGAGCTGGTTCCACCGGCCCCCGGCCCGCCTCCATTCGTTAGGTGTGTCGAGGCTGTTTCGGGAGCGGCGGCTGCACTAAGGCGCTGGGCGGGGAAGCGGGACGGTCTCAAGATGGCGGCTCCCACAATTGTGGTCTGAGCGCCGGCGGGGCTGCGACGACCGCGGCGCTTGTGGCTCCTTTCCACCCGCCCCGGAAGCCGGCCAGTGCTGGGGACTTGGGGGTGTGGGAACCGGGCCGGGGCTCCGCCATTTCCGGCGGGGGAGGGCTACGACTGAGGAAGGGAGGAGAGAGAGGCGGCTCAAGATGGCGGCTCCCAGGGCCTCCCGCCCGAGCTTGTAAGCGGGAGCGCCCGGGCAAGTACTCGGGGCGACGGGGCTCGGCGGCCTCCAGCTTCTTGAGCCTAGGCGCTCGACAGTTTCGGGCGGCTCTTGAGGAGACGGGGTGAGCGAGAAGAAAGGGAAGAGCCAAAGGGAAGGAGGGCAGTTAAGATGGCGGCCTCCATGGAGTCGTCTATCGCTGTGTGAGGAACCGCTTCTCCGTGAGAGCTGCCTTAGACGAAAGGGGGTGTGTGAAAGGAATCGAGGGGCTCCTTTCCCGCTTGTCGACTTCTCCCCACCGCACCCTTTCCCGGAACTATGGCTTCGGCCGTGTCGCCCGCCAACTCGCCAGCGGTGCTCCTGCAGCCCCGCTGGAAGCGAGTGGTGGGCTGGTCGGGTCCGGTGCCGCGGCCCCGCCACGGCCACCGCGCCGTGGCCATCAAGGAGCTCATCGTGGTGTTTGGCGGCGGCAACGAGGGAATAGTGGACGAACTGCACGTGTACAACACGGGTGAGTGCAAAGCCCGCTGGGTTCTCGGCTCTTTCCCTCCCTCCATCTCCTCCCTCTCCCTCCTCTTTCCTCCCTCCCTCCCTCCCTCCCTCCCTTCCTCTCTTCCTCTCTCTCCTCCCTCTGCTCCCTCCCTCACCCTCTACCCTTCCCTCGCTCTTTCCCCCTCCTCCCTTCCCCGTCCCTCTCCCCCCTCCCCGTCCCCCTCCCCCTTCTTCCCTCCGCCCCCTCCCTCCCCACTGATCGGCTTGCCCCTCCCCTTTGCTGTGCCGGGCTTCAGTGCTTTCCTCTGATCTTCTCCCCGTTCCCCTGTCTCTCCCGTGTTTGAGGATTGGTTTTCGTTAGTTAAAAGAAAGCCCCTAGTCCGACTGGTGAGGGAGAGGGGCTGTCTCCAGCGGTGGTGACTTCAGACCCACACCGTTACCCAGCGGGCTGGGGCTGGGGCTGGGGTTGGGGCGGGCGGATGTGTCGCCTTGGCGCAAGCAGAGCTCTGCTCACTCCCTCCCTTCTCCTGCGCCTGCTCAGCTCTCCCTCATCTCGAGTGCCCATTCTGGAGAAATGACCATTTCTAGATTACAAATTCGTTCTCTGTGTCTCGAAAAAGGGAGGGAAGGGAAGCGCTCTTAGGGCGCAGAGTTTAACATCCGCCAACCCGGGTCATGCTGGAGCCTTGGGGACCCGCTAGGACGGGCCGGCGACAGGGCCGCGTCTCCCTTTCGACATTGACTTCTGCAGCATTTCTTTCCAAGTCGCCCCTTCTCCTAATCTGGTGACTTCTGGTTTACAAGCTGAATTCCCGTTACCCCCCAGCGGCCTGCGTACTCCTGTGTCTCTCCGCTTCTGCGGAGCCGGGGGGTTACCCCACCCGCTCTTCTGCCTCCCTGCAAAACCCAAGCTCTTGTTAGTTGGGAGGGGAAGGAACCTCTCTCTTCAGGTATGGCTGATGCACCATGGCCTTCGTGGGGTCCGTTTGTTGTTGCCCCTGCCTAGTAGCCTTGCCTAGTCTCTAGGGCAGAAAGCCTACTGCTGTCCATGACAGCTTTGTGGCATCCTTTTTCTTGGTGGCCTCTTGGTCCGTTTTGTGCCCCTAGCACAAGGGTCAGCTCCCAAGTTGCCTACTGACTGCCCCTTGGCCCACAGGACCCTGGCCTTGCCCAGAAGGCAGAGTCAGGGTGAGTTCTGTCCCAGGCAAGACCTGGAAGAGTGTGGGTGAGGGAAAAGCCCCCTGCAGGCAGGTGAAGGGGGCTTGGGAAGCCCTAGTCCTCGGTGGCAGGTATGCCTCCCAGCACTAACCCCTTGCTCCGCGGCTGTTCTCTTCTGGGGGCTCTGGTGATCCTCTGGCCTCGGTGGTGGCCCTGCAGACAAACCCTTGCTGGGTGGGCTTTGTGTCCTGGGCGGTGAGAGGCTGCTGTCCTTTGACTGAGCTCCAGGGCCTCGATGCTCTGGGGATGGGAAGTTGGAGCTGCCTGGAGGGAGAAAGTTGGTTGAGGGAGTTGGGAAGGCTGGAGCTGGGCTCTTGGGTGCTGCTTCCTTCCCCACCCCCAAGGCAGAAAGTGCTGGTTTCTCCACATCTCGGAGATTATCGCTACCTACCACGTTGACTTTGAAAGGCTGGGGGGTTGCCGGTGGCCCTTTTTCGTTCCAGGTCTCTCAGCACCTGTTGCCTCCAGGGAGCAGGGCCTTTCTCAGCACCCCCTGGGCGGGGGCGCTTGGTGGTTGGTGGTGTCCCGTGCCAGCCTAGGCAGCTGCAGTAGCAGGAATTAGCTCAGTAAGCTAAGGCTTCTCCAGTGGTGGGGCTGTTTATAGAGGCACCGTCACCATGAGCAGCACCTTCTCCACTCTTTGGACCGACTTTCTTCTCATAAGGCCTGGAGCAGGCTCCCTGGCAGGGAAACGCAATTTTAGAAAGTAGGGCAGGGGCCTAATTACAATCGGCTCCAAAGTCCACTGCCACTGCTGCCTTGGCTTCCTGGGGCCTCTGCATATTCATTTGTTTATTTAAATGAATTGACCACTTTGGCATGAATTCATTACCAGTCTGCAAAGACAGGTTGTGCATTAGAGGGTAGCCTGCCTTCCAAAGGGCTGCTTAAAAATGAAGCTCTGGGATCCTCCAGGGTAGCAGTTTGGAAACTGTCATCGGCAATTCCTCAGACTTCTCGAGAGAGCAGCTGGCAGACCCGACGCCCTCTTCCTCACCGAGGTTTCTGCTGACAGGAATCAGCAGAATCAGTGGGAGTTGCCCCCTCCCGCCAGCCCGGCCTCATCACCTTTGTCTTGTCTCCTTTTGTTGTGTTTGGGACGAGGTCAGGGCATATTGTCATGCCTGTGCCACTTGCACTTCTGCGGGATCAGTCCTCAAAAAGCCTTCCACCTTTGGAGAGAGCTGATCTGGAAGGGGTCCCGGGCTAGGATAAGAAAGCTTGAGGGGGTGCATGCTTTGAGAGGTCTTAGGGTAGCTACTATCCTTGTCCTTAGGGAATTTTAGTTCCACGTGGCAAGCCAAAGGATTCAGAGTGCTGCCAGGTATTGGGGGGTAGGGGGGGAAGCGAGAGCTTTGGCCACAGTGGCTCTGTAATGTCCATAGGCTCTTGGAGCTGGAGGGAGCCTTGGAAAACATCTAGTGGAACTACTTCCTTGTTTCTGCAGATGAGGAAATTGGGGTCCAAGAGGGGAAGTGACAGGTCCAGGGTCGCCCCCCCAGCTGGTGGCGGAGTTGGGCGGGAGTGCAAACCTTCATAGAGGCCGTTCTGCCACCTGTCTC